GGAGATGTTCATATCCCTGGGAATCGTAGGACTTCTTCTGGCGACCAAGATAAACCCGAGCAGGTTGCAGCTAACAGCATAAAAAAAGAGGTCAGGAAAACCATGTGATTAATCCAGCCTCTTTCTGTTTATTCTCCCTCTTTTCTTTTTTGTTCTATTGGTTACTCCTGAGCAACTTGCTGGTTACCTATTGAAGAAACAGGTGACATGACTTTAAGATTTAATTGAGAGTAGAAATCACTATACCTTCTTTTTTTTTTTTTGCATTGTTTTAAAGGGCTCTCTCTCTCCCTCTCTCTCTCTCTCTTTCTTGTATTTCCAGTTGTATGTTTATTATTTGATTTACATTTCATGCACTAGCCTAAAATTGGATAGGATAATTAGGGATTCAGTATATTTTGGGAACAAGTCAGTGTCCTAAGATGCTGTATAAAGCAGGCCATCATTTGAATCCAGTGTAAGAGTCACCACATTCAGCTCCAATGAAACTCTCATGAAACACCAGTTCAGCAGCAGAAGTTTATTTGGGTGTAATGCAGGTAGATACAAACAAAGCCAGGGTTGGCTTGGCACAGATTACATAGCGTTTTATAGGTTCCCTGTTCCTGCGCTTTCCCCCATTGCCTAGTTACTGATTACCCGTGGTAATCTCCCCCTCCCCCAAATGGCAGATTCAGCCCGGTTCTTTTGTCCTCTTTGATTGCTGTCCATTGTTTATGGGGTTGTTGTGTTCGATAGGCTTTCCTTCTGCAGGTTAAGCCGGAGTTCTTAATTGCGCGCTGATCGCTGCGCTTCTGAGCAGCTGCGGTTCTCTTTGTCTGAGATGCTTGAGGGAAGCCGGCTGTGGTACAAGGTATCCACTCCCGCCCAGAGTTAACCGCTGCCACCTGTTGGCAATTTAATTGCTGCGGGTCCAACTTCCCCTTTTCCACTGCCTGCGCCTGAGGCGGTGAAATTGACTAGGGGTGGTGAAACTGAACAGCAGCATTGGCCACGCCATGAGGGCTGAATCTGACATCCAGAACACTTGTTTGGGAATAGTAAGTTACATGAACTCTAAAAAGTGACACCAAGCCTGACTGGCAGCCAGACACAATTTTGCAGCTTCTTATGTCAGTCTAGAATGTGCATTTTTAAGTAAGTAGCCAACATAAATATAATCTGATGCACAGAAATTTTACAGATTACAGAATCGAGGAATGTATTGCAGATATCCTCCCTAAAGGAGCATATTAGAAATCATGAGCTGGAGTTTCTATTATATTGACTTTCAAGAGCAGCTTCTTTCGTATTATGGTTATTTTTTATTCCTGTGTTCTAGAATTGCTGAGGAAAGGATTGAATTCCACAAAAATAAATACTCTGCAATACTTCATTATATTGAGATTGTCAAAGTAACTTACCACCTGGAGTTTGAAGATTCTATTGCCAGTTATTAAATTAATGGACTTTCTATCATGATCTGACTGCATATCAATTTAAATAATAGTGTAAATAATGGCATTGAATACAACAAACCTAATAGCAGGACTAATTTGAAACAAGTTTCCTCCATAAAATTCTCAGGTTCAAAGTGTAAGAGGATGGAAAACTGAGCTGGGGATGTACAGGTTCAGCTGTAATAAACTGTCAGTTATTTGTTGTAGTACAAGAAGGTTGTTAAAAGTATTCTCTTATTCATTGTAATTTGCATAGTTGAAAATACTGAACGATGTCTTTGCCAAAGAAATGTACAGTATTCAACAGTGTTGTTGAGTTCAAGCTATGAAATCCCCCAGCAGCATTCAGAAAACCAATCTGATACATCCAGCAATTCTGTGAAAACCGTTTTAACACAAGCAGTGATTTGCAATGGTTTGCCAGTCTAAAACGGACCAAGTTCTGGTCTACTAGCTATTCTCATACTGAACAATACATTCCTAATGTGGTCTTCTGCATGCATGGGACTAGATGCAAATATGGCAATATCCTGATTGGGCAATCCTGTCATAGACATTGACATTTTGGAGGACAAGAAACAAAGGAAGCCAATGTCATGACTGTGTCCATTGCAGCTTGCCCTGGATGAGAGTGTGTTGGATATTAGGGTAGAGCCTGCCTGCCTGCCTGCCTGCCTGCCTGCCTGCCTGCCTGCCTGCCTTGTACAGAACTCTGGGTAGTTAACAAGAGTTAAAAGGAGTTCACTAACATCATCCCTATTCAGTACTCTCAGCTTAAATCTCACAATAGTTCATTGGGAATCAAAATCTCATGACAGTGTGTGATCTTGTAAGATTGTAGCCATTTTTAAAAAACTGAAATTTTTATTTAATATTGGGTCTTGTGGCTGCCATCTAGGAAGATCATATGTGTCATTATTTTCTCTTTCTCTCATTTTTAACAAGATAAAAGCCATACAAATATTGAGAGAAAATAAAGGGGGGAAAAAGGAACATAGTGGATAGTGATAAAAGAAAATAGAAAAAGAAAAAGAAAAAGAAAGATTATGAAGAAGTGGCTTTTGATCTTCTTGACAGCAGTTATAGATACATTTATATTTTACCCATAACTCTCTAAGATTTCATCATAATTCCCTTCTTTCCATAAGCTACCTTTTCTAATTATCAGACCCATAAATCACAAGTTCATTTTTCTCTTTTTTCAGCAAAAAGTCCATAAGGGGTTTCCAGTCACTAATAAATGTAGTTATTGAACTTTCTCTAATCAAACAAGCTAATTTTGCCATCTGTGCTAGTTCTGCCATCTTCACCAACCATTCCTCCATTGTGGGTATTTCAGAGTCTTTCCATTTTTGTGCATATAGTACTCTCACAGCAGGATTGTGTCTAAAAGTAACTTTCCATGGCTCTTTTCTAATTGGCTGTCCATTAATCCCAGCAAGAAAAGTTCTGGTTTCAGTTGGATGTTGATGTTTAAAATTCTTTGTGTCATTGTGTGTATTTGAACCCAAAATTTTCTGGCTTTTTTACAGGTCCACCAGGCATAATAAAATGACCCTTCATGTTGTCCATATTTCCAACATAAATTTGAAATACCTTTATAATTCTAGATAATTTTTCTGAAGTCATATACCAATGGTACATCATTTTATAAAAATTCTCTTTTAGGTTATAACATGATGTGAATTTCAGTCCTTTCAAACCACGTTTTCCCACTGTTCCATCAATATGTTATATCCGAAGTTCTTAGCCCATGTTATCATACATTCTTTCACTTGTTCTTATTCCATTTCAAATTTCAATAAAGGTTTGTACATTTTACCAATTACATGTTCATCATTTGTACATAATTCAACTTCTGATACATTTCTGATATTATCCTTCAACTGTCTTTTAGATAAGAACCCACACTGATCTTCTTGAATAAAGTCCTGTAGAACCATCTTCATCCTCTCAGCTATCATAAACAACTTATAATCATTATTCAGTAATGATATTGGGCATTAATTTTTGGTGAAGTCAAATCTTGGCCTTCTTTAGGTATTAATGCTATATTAGCCTCTACCCAACTCTCTGGTATCTTTTCAGTCTGTAAAATAAGGTTCATCATTTTTTGCAAAGGTTGTAATAATTGTAATAATTATTACAATAAGTAATTTATCTTCAAAATGTTTATAATAAGAGGCTGATAAGGCATCTGGTCCAGGCGCTTTCCCTATTTTGGCCTTTTCTATAGCTTCATAAACTTCTTTTATTATTATTGGTCCATTCATTAAATGTTTCTGTTTTTCTGTGATCTTCGGTAACTTTTGTTTCTTTAAGTATTTACCAACCTTTGCCAGGGAAATTTCTTCTCTTTGATATAGTTTAGAATAGTACTGATGAAATATTTTTGCATATTTAAATTGTCTGTTAATGTGGTATTTCCACCTTGTAATTTTAATATTTTTTTCTCTTTTTCTT